GCCACTTCCCTTTTGCAAAGAAAAAGTTTACCACAGTGCAGTCTAAGATAAGCAATGAAAAGAGAGACACTGAAAGGATGACAAAAAAAGTCAGAAATAACAGATATTTCAGATGGAGGCTACCTAAGTCATATTTCCTGTTTTAAAAGGCCAAAATCACCACCTTAAAGAGTTTTAAGTCATCTTCCAAACACCAGTGTTGGACACAAACCAGACACGAATACCTGGAGTTGCAATTACTTCTTATTTTGGCCATCATTAATTTACTCACAGTCTTTTACTGAGAGATGAATACAGGATATTATTTGAATGCCTTTGGAATCATATCTTTATTTTTAATTCTGTACAGACTCAGTTGCTGGTTTTTGTGGTTATTTCCTTCCAAAGATGTAACCTTTTACTCTGGCAATTGCCATGGGGAAAATGCAGCACAGAGTTCTCCAGAGTACCATACTGCATCTGCCCTGCCCTGAGAAACTCTCCTGCCACACTACTCCTCTAATTTCTTCCCCTCCTCTTAGCAAACACCTCTCAGAAAAGAAACTCCTGAATTTAGACATTAAGCTCTGGAAACTTGTTTTTTGCTGTGTGGTAATTATTTAAATAGTGTATATAACATTTGGCTTTAAACTGAGCTGGCTTCTAAAGATTTTTATCGTGGGCTGCACAGGTGTTGTAGCCATTTAAAAGAAAATATTGGCTGCTGTGACTTGTGTTTTGATAAAAAATGTATTTGCACAGCAACTGTTTATTAGACAAACTATAATATATAAACTTGTAGGAAAAAGCTTTGTCTCTGTATTTCTAATAATTGACAGCTACTTGAAGACTTAAAAATTAAGCAAAATCAGGGAATTAAAAAAACACCCACACAAACTTTCCTATTTGCAAGCGTTTATCTGAATTTATCAGGAGTTTTAACTTTAAATAGATAATCTCAGAGGTCTGTGCTGTCCAGACAATAACAAAGGGAGTTAATCAAATATGAATTTTCTCCAACTGTCTTGTCAAACCAGGTAATGATGTCCTGCCAGCCAAACTCAGAGGGAACATGTGAAACAAATACAAAAGTAAACAGGCCCTAAGCTGCCCAAGGGAAAGTCAGCAAGATGGCAATTTCAATCATTTGGAATAATACTAAAGCAGCCTTAGGCTTTTCTCAGAATGGAAACATGTCACTGTTACTGCAATATTTGAACAAATCAGACTGCAAAAGAAAGGAACACTTATGTAATCACAGCCATGGAACAGCGCTTTACTCGATGGTGAGGTGGAAAATAATTAAGGGAAAATGTCCTTTTGGTGAGTAATTATAAATCTGCCTAAATGAGAAAGATAAACAATGTTTCCATAGAAATTTGGAGCAGTGAAAAAACCAAATTTAAGCAGAGACTCCTTAAGTCTTGACACAGCAGGCTTTGGAACAACAAAGATAAAGTTCTGTCAAATAAAACTATGAACATAACGACCCTACAAAATTTCTCAAAGGTTGATAAAAGTTACATTCAGAGCTACAAAGAAAGCAAAAAACACTTCAAGACCAACTCTGCTGAACAGACGCATTAAGATGAACGGGGCTGTCATATCATTTAACTGAGAAATCAAAAAATATTTCAAATATTTGGGGAACTTACCTAATCAGTAAACGTTCAGTATGTGTCTAGTCATGTAGCCATCTTTGAGTCAATCATCAGAAAATCAAAGGCAAATTGGCATGACTCAACCCAAACTTTAATACCGCATGATTGTGTCGTGTAAGCTTGTTTTGTGCGAGGGCTGCTGTGGTTTTAGCAGAGAGATTAACGACCGGACCTAAGCTGGCCTCCAAACCTTGCCCTGCTGATGCCTCAAGCCCTTTGAAGTCTGACCATCATACCTGGCAAAACAACAGTGGGAACTAGGCTGGTGTCAGATCTAATCAAGTTTCCTGCCTCAGCATAGCTAACTATGGGGTACACTAATTGGCCCAATTGCGGATTATACCTTTTGCTACAGATTCAAGACAATAATTTAGTCAAATGATGGTTTTTATCTCCTTCTAATTAAGATTCCAAAGTGGGAAGAAATAGGATTAGACAGGCTAACTTCAAAATTGTGTCCTTTAAAATGGCATGCACATAAGATAGATAATACTGCATATAAGAGTAAGTTGCTAGTAACTAAAGTGTGAAGATTTGGGAAAGCTTCAAATAGCTACTGCACCTTTTAGATAAACATGGAAGCTTTCCTGGAAAGGTTCCTCTTCATAATTTATAAATGGACAAGGAGGACTCATAAATATTAATTAAAAAACCCATTTTTTCATCCTGAATTAAAAAAAATCTCTTCAGAAAACTTTTCAGTCAATCTTATTTTGATGAAGAAATCACAAGGAAAACTGAAACAGTTAAAAGATTCTGCAGGCTATAAAGAGGCGGAGTTCCTTCCACAAAACTGCAATCTAATAAAACAGATTTGACATTCAAGGTTTTCCACCTATGAGGGCCAAACTATAAGGAGTGAGCAATCTAGAGATGAGAAAATCCATGTCCCATGCTCTGATTCTAAACTGTAAAAATAGAATAGTCTAGTGACAAAACCCCTTTTTGAAGAAATTTCACCACAATTCACAGGTTTTGTATATCTAACTTTTCTTACGTAATTTGATTTTAAAGCAGCATTTCAAGTAGAGGTCAGTATTTTTATCCTAAATTGTGTATATAAGTATGCAGAAACTTTCCAAAAACTGCAAGGTACTCAATCTGCATTTTCATTTAATATTTAACCTTCATCCTGATGAAATCCTAAACTGAATTGTACCCTGTGTAAAGCACACTGTTGCCTGCAATGCACACTGTTGTGCTGCTTTTTGCTTCTACCCCCAGAACCAGCGCTGACTGGCTGCTGACACATCACATTCTAACTGCAGAAACCCATTTCAGAAAACCTTATTCACATCCTTTCTTAACTCAGTTTTCCCTTGCTCCCATTTTCTGCTTGCCCTTACTGCTCCAGTCAGCCTTGCTGCAGTCTGCTTTCCCTAACAGTGTGAGGAAGAAAAACACATGTATTATAGATTAGTGAAACGTGTACAGGAAGATCACGGTAGGACAGTGATCTAACATGTTCAAAAAGGGATAGTTTGTGTCAGTTCAGCTTACAGAAAGCATATCTCTAACAAAACCTGAAGTTATTCAAAAGGGGCTGCAGCTGAGCAGTGAAGGGAGAGATTATACAAGTGGGTCATCCACGCATGTCTGGGGCAACAGGTTGTTTCAAGAGTTGCACTTCACTCCTGTTTCCAATGTCCCATGGCTAATTCAATTCTTTTCACAGAGCCTCCTGCTAAGGGTATTCTTTCCTTCCAAATTACATTACAGATTAGAATCTCAAATTTGAAAGAAAAAAATTACAGGACTCGGTGATGAGAAACCACCCAAATATTCTAATTCATAGCTATAATAAATGAGAATTTACCATGCTGTGAAATGAGGGTGCACACTTCTCTACACCTCTGAAAACAGAGAGAACATTTGTATTTTAAAACCAAACACAGACTACCAAGGGTTTTGTTTCTACTGTACTGCTCAAAAGCAGTTGTTCAAATGCTTTAATACCTCACAATGCCTGGTTTCACTAACTGCATTCTCTGGAAAGTGACAAACATTATAAAGGAATTGTCTTGGGGAAAAAAGCCCTCCTTCACGTATTTGCCTTGAAGTGGCTTCTGAAGAGGACACCTCTAGTTGAGAAACTTCCAGCACTCACGCAGAGATGACCTGCATGAAGAACTGGCTGCCTGATTAACTATTAACTACTCTCAATAGGATTAGATAATTAAAGACATTGATGACCATTAATTAGGAGGAGGGCACCTTAATTTGTCACTTGATAGGGCCCTTTCAATGATTTATAGGTTAGGGCTACTTGCAATTGTGAAGGGGAGGGGGCAGTGAAGAGAGAGAACCCTTAAGTTACCTTATCAAGTGGCCAGCTAAAAAGGGCAGAGGGTCAAATAAGGGCCAAAGTGGTCACTTAAGGGTGAAGTCCCAAACACCAAAGCAGTGCCAAGCCACATTGACCAGCATTTGGTGATGGAGTAAAAAATATGCTAATTTATTGGTGGCAATTCTCTCTTTTTATGGTTTCAAGCAGTTAAGACAAGTGGCCTGCTTAAGAGCTTTTCATTTGAAAAGAGATTAAACAAAATGGTTTGTCAGGGATGCTTGGCTGTTTTATGTCTTTGTTAAAAAAAAAAAAATTTGCTCAGACTGTACCGATGACTATTGCATCACCCTGAAAGCCATCTTCCATCTCTAAGCATTACTTGGTTAATAAATACATCAGCTCTAATTGCTTAATAGTGCTATGTTCATTTGCTCTTTAGCAAGATTAAAATGAAATACATCTTTTGTATTACTGCCTTCTATCAGGATTGTCTGCATAAAGGTCACAGAAAAAAGTTTAAATTTAGTAGGAAATTTACTTAAGGACATTAGTGTAAATGATACTGTGTTTAAAATGACATAAAAGAGCGAAAGGTGATTTCAGTAATGCAAAGAAAATGGTTTCTGAATACTGATAAGGACACTTATCCCCCATACCACACACAATTTTAGGCAACATTATACATTAAAATCCCTCTACTGGGGTAATAACATGTAGCTACTTTCCCACCCACTAACACAAGTAAGAGCAAGTCATTAACATTTAATTAAATATGCTCCTGACATCCTTAGAAACATGTCATGCTTTGTTATTGAAGGTTGTGGCCTACTTTCTATGTACATTTTAAACCAAAATAAAGTATTTATAACAGACCGATTTAGTGCAGCAAATGAGACATTTCCAATTAGAAGGCATATTACAGTATTTTATAAAACCCTTCTGAACAGCAAAACCAGAATGAAATGAATTTACATCATCTGATGCATATTTTATGTATTTCACAAAACGAAACATAAGAGATGGGATTAGCTCCACCTTTTGGGTTCTAAATAGCGAAACAACATTTCTCTTACCTCGATGGTGAACAGCTTCCTTTTTAATTTAAAAGCAAGGTCCTTCGTGTCTGACACATCACAGATCAAGCTGTTAAGCCGAGGAATCTGATGTACATGAACCAAACCTTGTGGAAAGAAAGAGTAAAGGAGGGGGGGATAAAAAAAAATTTAAGAAAACGCTGTCATCCAGATGCATAAATTAGAGTCTTACAGCAGAATTCTGTATATTTACACACACTCATCCTCCCCTTTTTAAACTGGAGCTTACTACCAGGAGCAATGAAGCAAACGGTGTGATTATGCTCAAGTAATCAAGCAGAATAAGATAAACAGAAATCCTTGTGCGAGGAAAACTAATTGCACTTTGGTACAGAAGTACAGATGTAAAGAGTGATCTTAATACTTGTCAAAACTACAGCCGGTTTGTGTGTGATTTTCTCTTGTATTTACAGTAAGCAAATATGGCTATCACCTTGCATGCTGCCCACGGCACCACTGAGTGATCTTTATTTTATTAAATGCACCAGTAAGCAGCCAGCAAAACAAGGCTTATGGGTTACTGATAACCACTGAAGCTCTAATGAGAACTCCTTCGCTTCCTGCCCTCAAAACGACTTGAAAAAAACTTTCTGGGAAATCCCGATTTAGACCACGCTTTTTAATAAATTTTAACCCCCGTGTTACCCCAGAAGAAAGAAGTTTTCTTCCTGCAGGAGGCTTCTATAGCTGCTCAGATGTTTTTAACAGTACTAGGTGCACTGCAAGCTCTGCATTCTGTCAGCTGCAACTCAAGCTGATTTTTTCTGACAAGGACGCTGGATGGTTTTTGTGCAGCCTAATATAGTCTCTGAACAACCTAAGGGTGATTTTCTACATCTGAAAACCAGGAAAATTCTACAGGGCTTCTCAATTACTGGCCTATATTTGCTATTCATAAAAGCCAGCATCTAAATGGAAATACTGAACATTTAGGAAAGGTATCTGACATCAAAACGGCAGCTCTGAGAAAATCCCCAAACATTAAACCCCTCATTTAAAATAAGGCAAGTACTTTTTCAGGCATTTATTTTTTTTTTTAAAGGAAGTTTTCTAGAATTGAAATACTTTAAAAAGCATAATTTTTATGAGTACTAATTACAAAAAATTCTCAATAATATTAGGAAAGTGTTATTACAGTTTTAAACCTTCTATCCCTGCCTCCCATCCAGTGAATTAGAAGAATTATTTGTTAGGCTTTTGAGTACAAAATCTAATTATTACATATAGGAACAGCAGGTATAACACAGGGTTGCTTATATACAGTATCCTAGAAATTTCATTTAGGGGTCATCTATGTAATTCTTTTGCTATTTTGTGGCTTTTCAAACATTTAAATTTGAAGGCAGCTTAATAAAATTATTAAGGAGGATTCATTTAAAAATGCAATAATGTAATCAAACTTCTCCTGAGTAATGTCAAAATCTTTCATCATCTGCAGTAAATAAATACCTTAAAATACGTTCTTAAGCAAAAAGAATCCACAAAGCTAAAACCATTAGAAATATCTCTTTTCAGACTGTCAAATTAAGGTCGTGAAAATCTCAAAATCAATGTTTATTGGCACATAATTTTTACTAAATAGCACCAGTAATGACTTAGCATACATTTTTATAGGAAACCAGGAAATAACTGCTAAAGCACACATTGTCTTAAAGGATCTCTTCAGTACTGGGAAAAGGAGTATTAAATTGACAGAATTATGTTAGCATAAACAAAGGCCATATCACGATTATACAGTTGGAAAAATAATTAGGCAAATTATTCCAGCTTTTGTTCACGGCTTCTTTTTCATTCACCTTTTTTTTTCAGATAATGAAATGTGCACTACTTTCACAGTCAGAAAGATTTTTCTCTGATTTATTAATTACAGCTTGCATACACACAGTGGTGTCTCAACACCATCTTTGCTTTTTTTCTATATATTCCATACATTCTGCTGGGGAAAACACTGCCACTGTCATATGTTTACAGCAGGTTTCAGATAAGCAGTTTACTGTCAGCTAAAGGTTTCCATGGAACTACAGTAGTATCACAATAATAAGAGCTGTAATTTATGCACAGTCTGAGCACTGCTCTGGATTAGCTAAAAGTGTTATTCACTGCTTTGGCTGGGCATAACTTCTAATACAATTCTAAAAATTTAAATAGGTCTGCTGCAACAGCTAACAAAAATGCAAGATCAAGCACCATTACACATTTTGAAGATAAAAACACTTGAAAGGCTACCATGACTTTTTACCAAAATCAGTTTCATATTTTACATGCCACGTATAGCCACGTTCATTTCCTTAAGTGTGCAAGTGCTGTAACCTAGAGCTGAGAAAACAGAGCATTATTTTTTTAGACAAAGTTTACGTAGCACATAATTTAGCAGTTTATTCACCTCACTACAGTATCTGTTTTGCCGTGTTCTCAATTTAAAACTTGGCAGATCAGAAAGTATTGATTTCATGACAAGTTCAGCTCGCTGGTCAGATGATTGCCAAGCCTGCCCTGCATGTGAATTCCCCAAAGCCTGCCTGTTGAGATGTACATCTGATTGAGCCATGCCTCCCTAATGCAGCCTGACAACATGCAAGGAGTTGCCATGTTTCCTTTGCAGCCTTAATGCACTTGGCTGAAAATTTCCCTAACTCAAGACTGGTTAGGCAAAGGGAAACATTTAAGAGGTATATTCCAAAATGAAATCAAATGCTGCTTTATAGCAGATAGCCAATTGGAGGGTGAGCTGCTAAGTGCCCTAGAAACACTCAGGGCAGACTTTTTGCATTGCTAAAGGTGGAACTTACCATGGTAATCCTTGTACAATGGATTGGTTTCTCTCTCAGAGCCAATAAATGATTCAAGACCAACTACCATATCTGACAAGTTTGTTACACGTTCCATAATTGCTTTATTCTGTAAGACATGGAAACAAAATACACATCCTATGTGATGAAAAAGGTAATTAATGTTCACAGAGTAAGCTTTGGTCTGCTCAATGACAAACTGAGGGAGAAAAATAGGTCATCAATACTTAGAAATTATATTAGAAGGCTTTTTTCTTCAAAAAAAGAGAAGACTTAAAATATCTGTCTAAAGAAAACAAATATTTGACAAGGATAAACCATGAAAGGGCTAACTTAGCACTAAATTAACATTTCCCTAAATCTTCATAACAGGCATTTGCTCACATCAGCAATATTTACAAGCCATGTGTTAAGCTTATCTCTCATTGATTTCTACTATGAGTCTGATGCCTAGTTTTTGTTTGGGTTCTGAAAACCTTGGTTTTTAATGCACTTAGGCATATCATCTCTAATATTTTGAGCAAGCAGAACCCACACAATTATTCATTTTGGCTATCAGTCGAACATGGAAAAGCCCAGTAAGTTCTTAGCATTTTTTCCTCTAAAAGTTTCTCTCTGCACATTGGCTCTAAAGCTTCAAGCAGCATTACCATTTCTCAATATATTTGTGATTTTTTAAGTGCTGCCTCATGTCTTGTGCTGCAATGTACTGCCATGTCTTAAATAAGCTGTTTTCTACATGGTTTTCTTTACTTAATTTTATATAGCAGAAAGAGACATTCAAAGGTCACAACACAGATCTTCAGAGGTAAGTCAGAAAAAATGTTCTTAAATGCTTTGATGATGTCAGTATTTAATGAAGCAAAAAAAAAAAAAAAGAAACACATCTGTGGTAAAAAGCAAAATATTTCTTTAAGATAAGAAATAGTTACCTTAAAGGTAGAGATAGCTGGTATAACACTCTCATTCTTGGTGGTTATAGGTGCTACATTCATCAAACCTTCAGGGGTACCAAGACTAATCACCTCAAAATACCCATTACATGAAATTAGCTCTGCAGCTCCAGGTTATAGTTTTGTATTTTTTATTAATTTTTAAGTATTTTGTACATTTTGCACTTCTTTCGTAAACTATACGACTGATGCTTATTCTGAAAGGTCAATTTAAATACTGGTAAACTATTTCAAAATAACAATTTATCAATTAGGAGCAGAGAGACATCCCCAGACATGTTAGAATAGTCCATGCATTGTCCTGACATCCAGGTTTATTAAAATGGTGATCAACACCCCAACTGCTTTCAAGACCCCACATTTCAGTTACCATTATTTTGTAGCCACTGAGAAGCTTACAAAGCAGACATGAAAGGTGACAATTTCCTGCTCCTGTCAAAGAATAAACAGAATTCTGTTTTCTGACCTCTACATGAAGTTGTCTGGATCAGCCCAGTCTGCTCAGGTTACCACTGATCCCATGGAACCTTTCCACCCCCTCCCTTCCCCACCTCCTGGGCCAGATGGCATCAGATCCTGGGGAGGGGTCTCTTTTCAAAGCTGCTACTTGTGCCCAGGCCAAGAGCATCCATCCCTGTGGAATCAGGGAACTCCATTTCACCCACCAAGCCTAACCATGGATACTGAGAAAGTGGTGTGATCCTACAGAATTTCCTTTCTGAGGAGTAATGTAAGTGATGTGAGGCAGAAGAGCACTGCCTGCACACCAATCCCTACACTTTGCTGTTCTATCTGCCCCTGAAATAGTAAAGCTGACTTGCAAATAATTTCCTCTTCTAGGAAGACAGAGACAATATACTATATTTTAATGGAATCTTCTGGTCACGTTATTCTACAGGGGCAATCACATAAAGATGGTATAAACCTAAATCTAAGGTAGTCAGTGACCTCTATAAACCCACAGAGAAGAAATTACCATCTTTTGTCACTTTTTCAGGAGGCTGCTGGATGCTATTTGTATAAGTAAGAAATAAAAAACTTTTAGATAAATAAATAAACACTAATCATTCCTGGAAACAAAGCTAAACAAAGAGAAAAAATATTCTATCCTTTAAAAAAACTTTTGCTGTCCATTGATGTTTTTGCCTTCTACTTTTGATAACAATGGGTTACAAAAACTGTGGAAAGAAAGGTGCCCAACCATCAGCAACATATCCTCATCACTGACAGCCCTGCAAATCGTAAGAATAGAATCCTCCTATTTGGTTTTAATTCTGGAAAGATTCAAGTGAGGGACAGCACCTCAATATTTGCCTGATGATACATGTGTTAATATGTTGGTTTCAGCTCTTCCTCTCAAAGGGTTTGCTTTCTTAAATGCCCAGGTTTCTCTTTGCCCAGGTTGATTTTGATTTTGTTTTTGTTTTTAAAGTGTGTCAAAATATTCCCCTGGCTTAATGCAGTGTATCTCAGGAAATATTTTGCACAGTGAATTGCCACACCAAACAGACATTTGCTTATGTGGCTTTGTTGCCCTAGATCTGTATCTATCATGTATTTTCGAGTTTGCAGTGTTCAGCACATTAATGTCCAATCAAAGCTGACGTCAGCACACACATAGTTGTGATGTATGGCACACTGACATAAACACACAAATCATGTTGCCCCATCTGGGCTTGAAAATTTAACAGAGCTCCAGATCTTCCTCCAGCCCCATACAAATATACCTCCTGCTTCTGGCAGAAACTTGGCAGCTCTGGAGGTGAGCCAGGACATGGTTAGGAGGGAAGCCAGGAATGGTGAGATTCAGGGAAAGAGTTTGTTGGCAGCCAGAAGAGGTATTGTTTTAAATTATACTAAAAATGAAAAAAAAAACCAACCCAAAAACCAATCCAGTCTTGGAAAGTTTTCAGTCTTGCTAGATGTACTGCAGTTTTTCTAAATTAGTTAGTTCAGCCAAAATATAATTATTCTAACAACATGGTAGCAATCCTGTTGTGCAGGCTGGGCTGGGCATCCATTCTATATCTTACTTCGAGCTACTGTTTTAGACAGACATTTTCTTTTAAGTGCAAACTTGCAATATTTGGGTTCAACCAAAGTGTACTTTCAAAACATGTCAGGAAAATCCGAGTAGAGAGCTGGCTTTGGAAATGGGAACTGTACACGTGTTCCAGCAGCTTTGGGGAAGGGCAATTATGGAAAAAGATTGCTTTGTCTCACTAATTTATTTTCAGAAGGTACATACCATTGAGTAATTACTTGTGCACGATGAAAAATATTTATTTGCAACAAAAGTGGTTTAAAATGCATTGTGTTCTGTGTCTGAGTGTAAAGCATGGGACTCTACCAACACCAATTCATGCATAGCTTGTATGCTCAAACTCACACACTGAAATGAATCATTTCTGTTTCTACTGGATTGAGTTTTAATGTACCACCATTTTATCATTACTACTATTAATCAAATCAATCTTGGTTCATCTGGATTCTGAATTAGGAAAAAAATCTATCTTTTCTACTCTGCTCTAGTTTCTAGTTCTCCTCTGAGTTCCTGTCAAAATTTTTCTAACACCCAAAATTCATCCTCTCATTTTGACAGTATCTAAAAAATTAAAAACCTCATAAAATTTCTGAAATGAAAACATTTAAAGTCTCAGTCCTTGCACTGCATAAGTAAAGAAAAGTCAGAGAATGGAAATTTTTCTTAGGACAGCCTCAACTTTTCTACATAGCACATATAAACAATCTCAAAATTTAAAAGGAAAATAAGACACTCATGTTAAAGGTCTACAATGAGATACAATTACCACCTATATAAATATTTGAATTGCATGGGCTTTTTGTATATATTTGCATTTTTATTCTGATCAATACATTAACATAATTTTAATATGGGCTTACATACTGCATTGATAAAAAGGTATTTTAAGACCACATCCCTTTTCAAAGAGACATTAAGCCAATATTTTGGTAGATGGCTCCTTCTGTACCTTTACATTCTGGTAATATAATCCCATCACTGGTTTTATTTTAAAACATTTAATTAAGAATGAATACACTGAATCCTACTTCAATTGCATCACATAAAACACTACTTACAAATATTGTTTGTATTGGGACAAAACCCAGTTTAAATATTTCACATGACAGCAAAGTATTCAAAGAGGAATTCAGATACTCTTCCCAAATCAAGGTAAAATTGTAATTGGAGGCAACAACCTCTGTTGTAACCACCAGGTGAATCCAGAAATCCTGACCCTTCATTTGAAAGAAGGTCTCAGTAATAAACACCAAATATGTTCATGGAAAGTAATAGGAATCTTATGAACTTACAGCGAATTTTGGTGTGTGAATTTTCAAGAAAAGCTAAAAAATTGGTTGTATTTTAAAAAAAAATTCTGTTACATTCTGTCATAAAGCTGGAGTAAGCTTAGCACCATAATGGAGACAGCCACACTGGACTAAAATAAAATAGTGGTTGGATAGTCAATAAATGAAATAATTGTTGATTTTTGTGAGATTATCACACAATGATATGGTAATGACTTCACAACACACAAATATTTACCACTTGTCATTACTACTTAATCTCCAAAGGATTTTACATTGGAAATATAAATGATTAAGAAACATGGCTTAAATATATATGATCATTTGTTAATAATTACTGCTCAAAAAATTGCAATTACCCATACATCTTCTTTTGGTAAAAGAAGTTAGTGAAGTTAGTCCCTTGTACTAGTTTTATGAGAGATCCATCCTGTCTGTGCATTTCTTGATTATTCACAAAACCCCAAAATAAATGATTAACAACTGTTCTTCCAAAAAGTGTCATTTGATAATTAATAAACACTGTAAACTATAAAATTCTGCAAGTCTTCTAACTCTATAGTGATTAGCACTGTTTACAGTGTTTGCACACAGCAAATCCACTAACTGAATATTAAATATATATTGAATATTGAATATATATATTCTATACATATATATGTATTCAATATATTGAATATTGAATTATGGCTGAGGGACCTGCATGCTCAGGCCACTGGAATATAAGATGACCATTAGCAAATTTTGGTGTGCAGAAATCTGTACCAATCTCACAAGAAAACCAACCACAAGTGTGATGTGTTTGCTGGAAGACAGATACTCA